TTATTATTATTATTATTATTATTATTATTATTATTATTATTATTATTATTATTATTATTATTATTGCTATTAAATGCCAATTTGCTATTATTTATTTGTTATTAGTAATATTACTATTATTAATATCAATTGTCTAGATGTTATGTTATTAATAAATGAAATGTGTATTATATATATATTATTTCGATAATTCCTCGATCCTATTTTTCGCCGTCAATCGAAACGATCGGAAATTCTTATTATCGCATTCTATTTTATTTAGCCCGATTAAATTGTTTCCAGCCCAATGGTATTTTAAATCCTTGGTCCTTTATATGTATTACGGCCCATCCTAATTGTTTTAAGTTGAGCCCAATATCATGTAATAATCATCAAGGCCCAAGAGGATTAAATCAAAACCGTTCCTTCTCCTTCTACGTGTGAACTGACCAAGTCCTCGTTGAAAATATTCTGCTCGCGAAATTCTTGGGATAACTTCCCTCGCACGTTCTCTGATCCTTACATAAGACTCGGCAGAGGATCTCATCTTGGAATCATTCAAACCATTATCGCAAAGTATACGCCATAGCCGAGTCCTTCATCAACTCCGGCGACGGCAACCCCTGAGCAACCACGCAACCGGCGCATTTAGTCTGAGTAGGCCGCACCTCTGTCGTTCAGCTCACCTTCCTCGTCGCAGCAAGTTGTTCCTGGCGGGAAATTCCATCGCCGAACCTCAGTCCCCGTACATCGTGGAGAACAGCAGACCCTAGCCGTCGAACCGTCCATCCAGGTGAGGTCCCGCAGCAACTAGTACGTTTCCCGTTCGCGAGCAGCACTCTCAGTTTGTCTAATAGATCATAACAGAAGTCGTTCTTCGAGTTTTCGAGGTCCGTTCGTCCGACCCACTATCGGGCCCATTTCCCATCCGATAACTCGTAGTTTTCCGAAGACGGGTAACACATTCGAATCCTCTCGCAATTCCGGTCGTTTTCATATATTGCATGATAGATATATACATCATATGTGCTATCGAATTCGCGTTTGAAATCGGATTTTTGGTTTGGTTCGCTATTGTTTTTCGTATATTCGAGGATTTACGGGGATGATTGGAACTCTCGATTTCATAAACGTGTATATCATTATGCTGTTGTGTTGAATTCGTGTGATTGCGGTGTCTCGTTTTGTCGTTTCGAGCCTTGGCGTCGTTCTTGTGTCATTCGTTTGTTTTTCAACTGCGTATTGTCGTTTAGACTTTTGACCCTTTAGAATCGACTTTTAATGGTTTTCAAAACTTGGTAAATGTGCTTTTTCGTAGACATTTTATATTCTTGACCCGGTTGCCGTTGGTGATATCAAAGTTGGGCTCGAAATTGATCATAGTAGCAGAGCTGTGTTGTCTCTGCTTTCTGTTCACAGCCTCTGTAGGTTACCAAAAATCTGTTCAAGTCTCAGGGTTTTCCTTTTGAAAGTTTTGGTTTCAATTTATATCACAACAGAGCGTGTAGCGCAGCGGTCACTGCGTTCAGTTGTGTGAGGGAGGTCTAGCGTTCGAACCCTAACACCTACATTTCCTTTTTCATCTATTTTCCCAGCATATAGTGCAGCAGAGGGCGCGGGCCGTCTAGCCCGTATCAGCCCGCGTTCGGCCCAATTTCTCAACACAGATGAAGCCCAATTATGGCCCGCTCCAGCCCGCATTTTTCCCAGCTGATTCCAGGCCTTTTTTCAGCCCAATTTGAGGGTCCTCTTTCGGCCCAGTTTGCTTGTGTGCGGCCCAAGTAGAGCCGTTTTGACCAAATGTTTGGCAGCTCGGCCAAATTCGTTTTTTTTAGTTCTATTTTGTGTTCCGGAGCCCATTTTAATACCGATTTAAATTTTAAAAATATTTTAAAAATGAGAAAAATTTTGGGAAAAATTATTTTAAGTTTCGAGACCCCAATTTACTTCTCCGAGTAAAATTTTTCAAAAAAATGAGAGAGTTCTAAGTCCACGAAAAATCCGATTAAAACCCGTAATAATTTTTATTAAGTGTGGGTTTTTTTATTAAATTCGAGTAGTGAGATAGGTTATTGATATTATCTCGCTTAAATGTAGGTGTTTGAGGAGTCAAATCTCGACCTACGTACTTGATTTTGTGTGCAATATTCTACCGCGATTTCCATGTGGGTTTTATTTGAAAATTGCTATGCCGTAAATAATTTATTTGTTGTTGAGTTGGTATGATCAATGCATGCTTGTGAATTTGTGTAACCTTCGATGTGAGCTGGATGTCCTTCGAATGGTTGTCCCCGTCGTTGAGAGTTGTATGTCCTTCGACAGTGCCTTGTGAGGCAATCTCCCTAAGTCCTAATGAAAGGCCATACCGTTGAGAGCTGTATGTCCTTCGGTATGCACTCCCATTGTTGAGAGCTGTATTGTAACGCTCCACTTTTATTTACGAAAATCAGAATAAATTTTTCGAATTTATTTCAAAAACAATATTTGAGGCGCAACTCATTTTCAAATCAATAATCAATGCTCAACATTTTCTCAATATTCAGTAATTATCGATACTCATAATCAATAAGAAAATCCCAGTAATCTATCAATAATTTAATTATGATCCTAGGAAAATAATCCCTATCAATAATCCACTACTAGAAAAACAATAGTCAATAATGATGCAATAATATCCAAATTCAGTTCAAAGCGGAAGCATTTATTCAAATTAAAGACCACCACTCGCATCCCCTCCGTCGTGCCGCTCTGTCTAACCTGCATCCATGAAGAGCAGGTGGGGATGAGCACAATAAGAAACAATAGTGCTCACCGCTATGCCATAAATATTAATATCAATAATCAACAGTAATCAATAATCAAAAGGTATGGTCTCAGCATGTATACGAAGCAATAATCTATCCCATTCTCCCATCAATAATCACAATAATCAGACTCATGTGCACACCTACGCATAGACTACTGCTGACTATGTATCGAATGCCCTCCGGTCCTACATCGAGTGCCATCCAGTAGGAGTAAACCACCCCACTGGCCAAGGTCTTGCCTTGGACTTACCAATGAGGATCACCGGCCGAGGGACCTAAGCCCTGGTCTTACGACTTCTCAAGGGAGACTACCCGAAGGTACGTTCTATAGCTACGGGGACAACCGTCCAGTGGCCGATACAGCTCAGACCGAAGGCTACATGATTCACATGCATACTTTGATCATACCACACTTAAAACAGTAATAACATTTAAAGCATAGTAATTTTACAATTACAACCCACCTGGAGACAACAAGCGATAAGCATAACAATAACAGAGGGCCGACCGACGAAGATTTAAATCGAGCAAGAAAAGTATATGCTCGAGGGAAGCACGTTAAGACTGAGGTGCAATAAGTCGACGAGGGAGGCCCAGTGATTAATTTTGGGCCAGCAAATGTAGGAGAGGTAGAGAGGCCTCACAATGATGCCTTGATGATAACTGCCCAGGTGTCGGGCTATGAAGTACAAATGATCTTTGTCGATACAGGAAGCTCAGTAAATATAATATTCTATGACTTTCTTAAAAGGATGGACCTTGACATCGAGATGACACCCCTACATACACCCTTCTTTAGGTTCAACGGTTCAGAGGTTGCGCCCTTATGAGAGACCGTGCTTGTTGTTGTTCTAGGGGAGGGCGACTTGAGAGAGGTGAAGATGGTAAGATTTGTAGTAGTCGACGTCAAGTTGGCCTACAATGTGATTCTCGGGAGGCTGGCATTGAGCGCATTCCAAGCTGTGGTGTCAACTTACCACATAAAGTTGAAATTTCTGGTCAAATATCGAGTGGGAGAAGCTCGAGGAGATCAGAAGTTATCTAAAGCCTGCTACCAGATAGCAGTAAAAACAAACCAACGAGCGGAGGTAAAGGAAGGAAAGAAGCCAATGTCGAGTGAAAAGAGGCCGAGGGGGAGTGACCTTGAGCCACATGGAGAATTGATGGAAATCCAGATCGGAGAGGAGGGGGACCAAACCACCGGGGTTGGGAGAGAATTGGAGGATGAGTTGAGAAAACAGTTGGTGGAATTGTTAAACGAATTCATAGAAATATTCGATTTCTCTTCAGAAGAGTTAACGGGGATTGACCCGGAGGTCATGGAGCACAAACTCAATGTCAACCCCCTCAAAAAACCCGTCAAACAGTGACTTAGACACCATGGAGCTGAGATCGATAAAGCAATTGAGGTCGAGGTGGATAAGTTTCTAAGAGCCAAGCACATCAAAGAAATCCAATTCCCTGAATAGATATCCAACACTGTGATGGTGAGGAAAGCATTGAATAAATGGTGCATGTGCATCGAATTTCATGACTTAAACCTGGCATGTCCAAAAGATCATTATCCTTTGTCGAGGATTGACCAGCTAGTTGACTCTATGGCTGGTTGCGAGTTGCTGAGTATGATGGACGCATCCCAAGGATATCACCAAATTCCTTTGGCCCCCAAGGATCAAAGCAATGTTAGCTTCGTGACAAGCAAAGGGACATATTGTTATGTCGTCATGCCCTTTGGGCTAAAAAATGTGGGGGCGACGTACCAAATACTGATGGATCGAATGGTTAAGCCGCAGATCGGGCGTAATATGGAAGTGTATGTGGACGACATCCTGGTGAAAAGTATGTCCTCGATCTCGCATGTTGAGGATCTAAGAGAAACATTCGAGACACTAAGAGCGTTTGGGATGAAGCTGAACCCGAGTAAATGCGCCTTCGGGGTGAAGGCAGGACGATTCCTTGGCTATGTCATGACTGAAAGAGGCATTAAAGTGAACAAGGACAAGGTGAAGGCCATACTCGACATGGCCCCACCGAGGAATATCAGGGAAGTGCAAGTCCTGACGGGTCGAATTGTCGGTCTAAGCAGAGTCATCGCTCGAGCAGCAGAGAGAAGTTTCCCATTCTTCAAGTTGCTCAAGAAGAAAACTTTTCAATGGAACGACGAGGCTAAAATGGCATTTGAAAAACTGAAAGAATTTTTAAGCGAGCTGCCGCTATCGACAAAACCAGAACCCGGTGATGAGTTGGTGCTATACATCTCAGTGGGAATATTTTCCTTAACTTTGGTATTGCTGCGAGAAGCAGGAGGTGCCCAGCATCCGATCTACTACACGAGTCGAGTACTTCAGGGAGCGGAGACGAGATACTCCGAAGTTGAGAAAACGACCTTGACGTTGGTAATAACAGCTAGAAAGTTGAGGCTGTATTTCTTTAATCATGTGATAGTGGTGAGGACAAACTTCCAGCTCGGAGAAACCCTGGGTCGACCTACTATTTCTGGTCGACTCGTGAAGTGGGCAGTCGAGCTGAGCGAATACTCCATCAGATATGAACCAAGGCGAGCCATAAAAGCCCAAGCTTTAGCGGATTTCATCCAAGAAGGAATTAAAGGGGAAGAGAAGAAATGGGTGATGCATGTCGATGGATCATTAGTGGCCAAAGGATCTGGTTTAAGAGTTGTCCTTGTGTCTCCCGAAGGCGAACAACTCGACTTCGCTATGAAAATGGGGTTCAAGGCCTCGAACAACGAGGCGGAGTATGAGGCACTAATTAAGGGAATTTAGCTGGCAATCGACGGTGGAGAAACGTGTTAGAGGTATGCTGTAAAAGCGATGTTTTGCAGTTTCTATCAATTCCATTTTGATCTGGAAATCATGTTTCGGTCAAAGTACATATGTTTGCAGTTTATTTATTTATGCAATAAATACTCCATGTCATATATTGAG